GGACCCCAAACTAGGTTTTTCTGTCTCTAAGCCTGAGGAGACATTTATTTTAAATGGAAAGATTGGAGTGGTTGCTTATGAACTTCGATTTTATTTTACTACACTCCACAAAACAGAAACTTTGAAACAACTGGATTTTAGCTGGTTTACTGGGATTGATCACAACAGGCAGTAGGGAGAGTGAGACAGAGAAGAAAAAAAAATCGAAGTATGTCTAAGCTCACACATACACATCCACTAACATTGTAAAAATCCACAGAGGACCCCAGGAGTGTGGTGTGGGCACCAAAGATGTCTGTTGCATCTTTCCCATTATTCAGGAATTGCCCCATAGTAATCCATAGAGAATTCTCTTTTCTACAGATTAAAACACTCTATAGCCCAAAACTTCAACTTTCATTATTTTTAAACTATGTTTTGTCCATCTATGATGAGCTATGCTTTTCCTTCCTTCCTTCATCTTTATAAATAAAATTATTCTTATAGATCATATTTAGTAAATTTTATCTAGGACATAAATAAGTGGATGAACTATCTTATGTAAAATAGATAATTATTTGTCACTACTATTTAAAATAAGAACTGAATAAAATTCAGTTCTTAATATTTGTTTTTTAAAATTATTTTACAATTATTTACCAAATGTCTACTCTGTGCCACGGACTATGCAAAATCCTGAAGTTTAGCATGGGCTAAACAGACATTGTTCAAATTTCCAAGAAAATCAGTCTATTAAAGTATTCCTAACACATCAAAATCTGTCTACTCAGATTTTCATGTCTTTATTTTTCCAAACTCTTAGATGCACAAACATTATTTACTTTTATTAGTCATTGATTCGTAATAATGTAACCTAAACTAGTGAGGACACAAGAGATCATATATGTGTGTATATCTATACATATATGTGTGTGTGTATGTGTATACACACACACATGTATACACATATATGTATACATATATATGTGTGTGTATATCTATACACACATAATTTGTTTAATCATTTAGATACACTTTCATATTATATTTTCCTATTATGGCAGTTTTAAGTTTATAGAGCTGTAAACCCCAGACCTACATTTTTTTCCAAGAGGTTCATTTTCTATTATAAATTTCCTAACCTATGTGCTATTATAACAAGGGTTACAAGAACCCTAGTAATAAATTGAATCTTTCGTATTTCATAGTTACATATCTCCTCTGTTAGTAACAAAATTTAAATCTTCCTAATTATATTTATTTAAAACTATAACTTTTCTATTTTACTAGAATTATTTCACAAAATGATTATGATGCTTGCAATAGTCAGTTTCCTTATCCATTTGTTTTTTTGTTTTGTTTTTGGTTGTATTTTTCCCTGTGCAAATTCTTTAATTTTTTTTAATACTTGTATTACTTTCCTAGGGCTGCTGTAATAAGTGGCCACACACAGGATGGCTGAAAACAACAGGCATTTATTTTTTTGTAGTTCTGGAGGCTGAAAGTTCAAAATCAAAGTGTGACAGGGCTGTGCTGCCTCCACAGGTTCCTGGGAAAATCCTTTCTTGCATCTTCCTGCTTCCGCCGGTGACTGCATCGCTGGTGTTCTTGTTTTGGCAACATGATGCATATCCTCTACCTCGTGTCTCTTGTGGCTTTCTTCCCCAAGTGACCACGTGTCCAAATTTCTCTCTCCCCTTGAAAGGACACTAGGCACTGAATTAGGGTCCATCGCTCCGTCCACTGTACCTATCTAGGACGTTGCACATCTACCAGACCTCTTCATTATTTTATTTTTATTTTTTTCAGCATATTATGGGAGTACAAATGTTAAGTGTACATATATCTCCCTTGCCTCGCTCTCCCCTTCGAGTCAGAGCTTCAAGCATGACCATCCCCCAGTTGGTATGCTTCACACTCATTATGTATGTATATATCCATCCCTCCCCCTCCACCTGCCCGACACGCCACATAAATGTTTTCCGTATATGGTCCATTAGGGTGTTAATACCAATTTGCTCGTGATACATGTGGTGCTTTATTTTCTTCTTGTGATACTGTCACGTATAATAGAATGGGTTCCAGCTCTATCCAGGAAAATACAGGAGGTGCTAGATCACTGTTGTTTCTTATAGCTGAATAGTACTCCATGGTGTACATATACCACATTTTATTAATTCACTCATGTATTGATGAAGATCCTCTTTCTAAACACGGCCCCATTCACAAATACTGGTGGTTGGGTCTTGGGCAAATCTTTTGTGAGAGACACCATTCAACCTTCAACAATATTTATATGGTCAAATATATTAATCTTTCCTTTTATGGCTTCTGGATTTTGTGTTGTTTTTATAGAAGAGATTTTCGGTCCTGTGACTATAACAAAAATTTTCCTTTTTTAAAAAAATAAATAATGGACTCATTTTAGTGGTTTCCATGTAAATGCCTGAACATCTTGCATAAGTATTAATGTAGTGTGTAGGGGAGAATTCCATTTTTTTCAGATAGCTATTTAGATGCCATAATATCCTATATTTAATAATTGATATTTTCCAAGCTGATTTTAAATACCACTATTGCCATATACTAAATTTCTGGAGTTATTCATGTCTGTTTCTGGTCTCGATTCTATTTTATTGATCTGCTTTGTTCTGTGTCAGTACCACTACATTTTAATCATTTCAGTTTTAGAATATGTTGCAGAATTTACCTGACTGCTCTTATTGATGTATTTTAATTAAACTTCAGGATTAGATCTTCTAGTTCAAAAAAAGTGATAGCACTTCTCCTAAAATCATATTAAATATATAGATTTACTTATGGAAGATGAAAATGATACCATTATCTGTGTTTTTTTCCAAGTCTTCTAAGTCCCTGAGCAGCAATTTAAAGTCTTCTTCTTAAAAATCTCTCCCATTGCTTTTTAAGTTTAACGTTAGCAGGAATTATCTATCAAGAAAGGATATTGACTTTTATCAAAAGTCTTTCGGCATCTGTGATGACACTGTAGTTTTTCTTTTGGTCTATTGATATAGGCTTCTCTAATACTGAATTTTTCATGGATGTTTAGAAGTTGGCGTTTAAATTCTTATTCCCACACTTAATAGCTTTGTTTCCTTGTGAAAATTGCTCCATCTTACTGAGACAATTTTCTGTAAAATGGGAATAATTGTAGAGCTGTCATTTTTTGCCTGCTTGAAGCATTCTGTGTCTTTGGGAAATAACAGCCTCATTTTTCTTTGGGGAAGTCAGCCTTCCCCTCAGCCCATGTGACCCTTCCCTAGGCCTACGGGTGACATTTAACCCAGAGCTGCTCATGAGGTCACCCCACTTCCCCCACTCCTGTGACAGTGGTTTGTTTAAGGACAACACAAGCTACGCCAATGAGAACTAGCTCCAGATTTTATTCTGGACCTTACTGCTTTTGTTAAGCTCCTAGGATATGAACATAGACTGAATTATCAATACTGGGAAAGAGTTTGCCTGAGAATGAAAACATAGAAGAATAAAAGCTGGGGATGAGAGGGAGAGAGAGAGAAAGAGAGAGAGTTAGTTAGTTGATGAAATGCTCTGAACACTTAGAACCAGCACACCTTATTTACTGCCTGAGTATTAAGTTAAACAACAACAACCACCCACAACAAAAATAATACCAGTTACAACAGCCAACATTTATTGAGCACTTGCTATGGGCCAGATACTGTTCTGAGTACATTTCACACATGGACTCTTTCAGTCTTCATAATAATCCCATGAGGTGTATGTTGTTAATACTATCCCATTTTCACATGAGAAAACAGGCCCAAGGGCTTTCAGTAACTTGCTCCATATCACAGGGCTAGTAGGTGGCAGAGCCAGGACTCCAGCCCAGGTTGTCTTGCTCCCTCACCTAAACACTAGGCTCATGCCAGTAAAAAACCTTTGCGTCCAAAGGCTGTTTGAGAAGGGTTTCTGTCAGCAGCAATAATGTAATTTTAATTCCATAATCATAATAACTACCTTTTAAAGTTGTTAAGAGCCTCAAATGAGTTTGCGTACGTGAATTCACTTAGCGCAGTGTCTGGCACATGGCAAGTGTGCAAATGTTAGATGTTGCTGTCGTAAGTGCATCATTGAGTCTTTCTATCCAAACTACTTGGAGAAAAAGAGAGGAGTAAAGACTGTAGCCTTTGGGGAACTATTTATATTAGTCTTTGTTGGGTTTGGTGCCATGGACTTCAGCTGGCATTACAAGCTCGCATGCTTATAGAGGGGCCAGGAAGTTGGCGTGAATCAGGATTTCTGAAATTTGGTACTATTGACATTTTGCAACCTTCTTGGTTGAAGGGCGCTGTGCTGCACATTTTAGGATATTTAGCAATACCCCTGGCCTCTACCCACTAGATGTCAGTAGCCCCCCATGTGACAAAAAGTCTTGAGACAGTGCCAAATGTCCCTTGAAGGGTGAAATCATCCCCTGTTGGGAACCACTGGTATAAATGAATGCAGCCCATGCTGGCATTGTGCGAGCTCTTGTGTCATACTGAAGGGACGGCCCTGCTGTCTAGAGGGGCAGCCACTGCTCAGCTCTTGCTGGTTGTTCCTGAGGATAACTGTGGACCCTTTATTTTCAGGTTGTCCAAATTTTCAAGAGAAACCAAGGGTCTAGTTTTATATTGTTTTTTCAGATATTAAATGCCGGCCCCATTTTTTATAACCACATGTGGGCCATATGAAAGACATCTGTGGGCCACGTGTGGGCTCCTAGCTGCCTGTGTACAAGCTTTGGCCTGGAGGGTTTCCCAAGACTCTGGTGTCTATGATGCTGAACAGGGCTCCCATTTCTCGAGTACATTCCCCCCCACACCCCCCAGCATGCTGCCTTTCAAAACAGTTGGGACGATCAAAGCAGCATTTAATTCTCTAATTCTCTTAACTGATTAGGTCCATCGTACCCCTTTAAACAGACATTTTTATTTTTAACTTTTCCCCTGGTAACAAGTGAATTCTAGAATGAGTAGAATGAAAGGGGATTATTTAGAAGATGCTCTCTCCATGGAGATTGCAGTTGGAGCCCTCTATGTTTGTTTCTTTTCCTTTTTTAATTTAACAGTTTATTTGAGCAAAGAACGATTCACAACTTGAGCAGACCCCAAACCAGAATAGGTTCAGGGAGACTCCAGCACCGCACATGGTTGAAGAAAATTTATGGACAGAGAGAGGAAAGGGATGGACAGACAATGGAATTGAGGTAAGAAACAGCTGGATTGGGGACAGAGTAGCGTTTGCCTTATTTGAACACGATTGGAACAGTTGGCTGCCTTTGATCGGCTGAAACTCGGTGATTGACACAAGAGTAGGTTACAGCCTGTGAACACATCCGGTTAGGTTACAGTTCACTATGTACAGAGAGACCTTTAGGATGAACTGAAAACATGTAAGGAGGTATCTTTAGGCTAAACTTAGTTTAAAAATTCCCCCCATTTGGTCAACTTCTCAACTTTGAGAGATTGACCAAAATTTTATGCATTGCCATCACACCATCACTATGGAAAATGTACTTATTTGGCCTCAAATCTCACTGGGAAATAGGAGCACAGTGGATTTTATGAGGTGAGAACAAAGACTTCAGGCTACATTTTTTTTTTTTTGTTTTTGTACAGGGGACCTCTGTGGGGCGCGGTGACAACGCCATTGCAAGATGGCGCCGGCTTTCTGGTCACGCCGATACTACGGGACTGATAAGCAGGGTGAACCGCGCAGGTGTAGGGGCTTTTCCTGTCTCATCAAGTATGCATATGAAGGATCTTAGCTTGGCCTATCAGTAATAACCCTCGCGCGCTCTTAACCTATCCCCATCACTTCCCTCCTTCCTTAGAGTATATAAGTGTGTGAGAGCTTGTGCTCAGCGTCTTCCGCATCATGTAAGTCTAAAGGGAACCCCATTAAAGCACTGTCAGAAGAACTCCAGTTGCCGCGTCTTCCTTGCTGGTCGAGGGGGCGCGACAGACCTCCATGTGTTGGAAACGCTTGTTTTTCAGGAGAAAAACAAAACCTCTGTCTTTTCACTCATCTCAATGTCTGGTGTCTGTGGATATTTTCATTGCTTGCAATTGTTGGAACTTTAAGAATTCCTTTAAGCTAGCTCAGCAATGTGGACAATTGATTATAAAGATACAGGGGAATTTCAGAACCCATAGAGGATATGTATAATCAGACCTTAGAAGGGACCAGAAAAGCTTTCTTGTATCAAGTGACATTATTTTCTTGTTTTCTTAGATGTATCTTTCATTTGTTTCTCCCCCTCCAGAGAATAACTTTCACTCTTTTCATCCAGCCAGTCCTGGAGGTACATACTGCTCATGCGTCAATGGGAATGTTCTATGAGAGAATGTGATGGAACACGTTGTTGGAGACAGGACTCAACCCATGTGTTCACTCCACTATAACAGTGCCACAAAGCCCGACTGTCCACTCTATGATAGCATGTACTTTCTTCTTCTGTTTGTGCCGAACTCCTAAAACCTAGAATCATGCCTGGCACACAGTGGTGCTCAGCATCTCTTCTCTTTTTACACACCCACTTTTAGTGACCTCTTCTAGGCTGGTGACTTTCAATACCCCTATATTCCACTGACACCAAAATGTCATCCCCAGGATGAAACCGGCCCTTGAACTGCATTTGATACCTTCACCATGAAGGTATCATGAAGGTTACATGAAGGCATCTAGATTTTGGACATCTAAACTCAACTTGTCTAAACCAAGCTCTTTCCCCCAAATGTCTGTTCTTTACCTTCCGGGATGAGTCTTCTCCTTCTCAGTAAACGTTTCCCTCATTCTTCTAGGAACAACTGGATAATTGTATGGAAAATAGGATGAACCTTGACCTTTACCTCACACCATACACAAAACTAATTTGCAATGAATCATTAAACTTCAGAGCAAATAAAAACCACAATTCTATTGCTGCATCACCACTGGAACGGCTAAAATTAAACAACACCAAGCACTGATGAGAGTGTAGAACAACTTGAGCTCTCAAACTAACTAATGTTGGTAACTTAAAATTGTACAACCACATTGGAGAACTTTTTGGCCATTTCTAATAAAGATTATATATATATATATGTTTAGCATATGATTCAGCAATTCCACTTGTATTTACCTAAGGTAAATTTCCTAGGTTTCTTTGAATCCCCTGAAATTATATATAGAATTTTCTGGCATGTGCATTTTACTTCAGAAAATAGTCTTTGTTTTCCTTAGATTCTCAAGATATTCACGACCCCAAAAGAAACATGAAACACTGTGTTAGCTATAGCTTTCCTTCTTTCTATGACAATAATTATTGGGACTAACTTTAGGGGTACCTGATAACATTTAAAGTGGAAATTTACAGTCGATACTGGGAAATCACAACAAAACAATTGTCCACATGTGAGGAGGATGTTACTACTGTATATCATTAATAAAATTGAAATTGGTGAGGGCTTTGTACATACCTTAGTTTTATTAATGACATTTTGATTAATTTATACTAAAAATCATGAATATGTTGAAAGATATAGCCACAAGGATGTTCATTACAGTGTTATTTATGGTAATGAAAAACTGAAACCACTTAAACGTTCAACGATAATGAATTAGCTGAAAAAGTTAAGGTATATCAATGTAATTGTACATTCTGATATCTTTCCAAATGGTTTTGAAAAATATTAGTGACGTGCAAAAATATATCATCCTATATCAGAAGACAGCACACTATGACCATTGCACAAATCCTGCCCATCACCTATTTTTGTTAATAGTTTTGTTGAAATACAGCCCTGCACATTCATTTCTTATATCTGATTTAGACCTCAGGCTGCAGAGTTGAGTAGTTAGGACAGAGCCCTTATGGCCATCACAGCCAAAAGTACTTTATCTGGTACTTTTCAGAAAAGGCTTGTCAATGTACTGTATCATTAAGTAATAACATAATATGGTTTCATCTTGTAAGATACATACACACACATACACCCACACACACACACACACACACACACACACACACACACACACACACAGAGAAAAGAGAGAGAACTCAAAGTAGATAGAGACACCAAAATGATAAGTGGTGGTTTATCTCAGGCCATAGAATAACCGATAATTTTTATTTTTGTCCTTTTGCTTTCCAGTATTTTCCAGAATTTATACAATAACTATTCCATATACCATCACATACAAACTTTTTAAAATTTTTATAATACTATTTTCAAAAATCCCTATCTGTTTAGCCTTTAGCAGTTTCGCAGGTCTCCCAATCCCTTCTGGTGATTACAATGACAGCAGATGAGTCTCCAGTTATTTTGTTGAGTGGCTTGTGAAGCCACCAATTGCCCTGCAACCAGGTTCTATTCAGTGTTATACCTGGGAGGATATAAGCAACAGGAAAAGAAGAACAGGGCAAGAGTGCTTGGAGAAAATTAAGATTGCAGACGTGACATTTCCTAGAAATCAGCCTGTCTTGGTTTCTCCCATAATTATTCACCATTTTGTTTACAAATGGGAAATAGCATTCTACTATTCAGTGTCTTCCAAGAGACTGAAGTTAATTTGAAATAATCCTCCAGCAAAAGCACCAATAAAAGCATCTGGAACGCCCTGTTGCCATACCCTCTGGCTACTGACACGACATTATTGATACACAAATCAAAGTTGACTGCTCTGGTAACAGTGAGTCCCCTGGCAGCAAGAGCTTTCAACCGAGAAGGTGTTCCTTTCTGAAGACAGGACCAACTTAATACACTATCTCATTGTAACAGGCTCAGTTAAGACATTAAAGGGATCACAAACAGAAATTTCGAATCTTTTTTCCTTTTTTTTTTTTTTGTTTTCCTTAGATGGAATGGGCCAAAGCAAAATCACAATAAATAAATAAAAGAAGAAGAAATCCAAACTATGCTTAAGAATAGACTCATGAGACATAAAGGAGGCTACAAATGTAATGTGATTTGAGGGCTGTCACAAGGTTTCACCTGTCAGAAACCTGTAGCAGGAAACTTACGCCTGCCTGACGTTTCCACCATTAGAGTCATTCTTTTGAGACACATCATTTCTTAAAAGGCTCTGCTCAAATATAGAATTATAGAACTTCTGGGTTTAAAGGGACCTTGGTGGTCATAAATCCATTCCTGCACTGATATGTAAATCCACTCTTCATTATCCCCTCTAAAATGTTGCCTGGCTTTGGTGTGAACTCCTTCCACGATGGAGGACTTATTTCTTAAAAAAAAAAAAAAAAAAAGCAACTGATTTCATGTTGAGTAGGCTCTAATTATATAAAAGTCTTCCTCGTGGTAAACTAAAATCTGCCTCCCTGTAATTTTGATTCTTTGATCAAAATTATTTATACAAGCAAGTATTTATGATGCACCATTGCAGGCATTCTCGACATAGTGGCATTCCGGATAATCAAATTTCCTGCTCTCATGGAGCTTCCGTTCAGGGAGGGGGATGGGCAGCACACAAACAAAGTGATAAACAAACTAGGCTGTCTCAGGTAAGGTGAAGTGATAATGACAGGGGGACAGTGGGGAGGGCTATTTCAGATGTGGGGTGTTATGGGTTGAATTATGTCCACCCCAACCAAATATGTCTAAAGTCCCAACCCTCAGTACTGTGCATGTGACCTTATTTGGAAATAGGGTCTTTGTGGGTATAATCAAGATAAAATGATGTCATTAGGGTGGGTCCTAATCAAGTATGTCTTTATAAAAAGAGAAGAACAGATACGCACAGAGGGAAGATAATGTGAAGAGACACCGAGAACAAGGTCATGACGAGGACAGAGATTGGAATGATGTGGCTACAAGCCAAGAAATGTCAAGGATCGCCGCAACATCAGAGGGTAAGAGAAAGGCATGGAACAGATACTCCCCTGGATCCTTCAGAGGGAGCATTTTAGCCCATTTGGAAGCTCTAACTCGTTTGCAGTAAAGACACTTTGCAGATAAGTAAAGGCAGCCGCTGTATGCTGCTCCATCTCCAATGCCCCTCCCCCATCTTCTCTTCTTCAAGCCAGTTCCTTGTGTGCAATTTGGTTTAATAAATATTTATTGCAGACCTAGCAGGAAGCCACGAAAGTAGAACACCTCCATGTGCTCCAACATGATAGCACACATTTGCTAGATTAGCTAGTTCATTAGTTCCCAACCTCTTGTTCTGTCCCATGAGGCTCAGATCCAATCCCCACCTTCCTTCATGTGGGAGGCATGGGGACAGATTCGAGCACTGCCCCTTCCCACAGCGGACGTTTTGTTCTGCCTTCTTAGCAGATGAAAATCACTAAGTTGACTGGTAACTCAAAGAGACCCAAATACTCAAGAAATTTTGAGATTGGGAAGAAAAAAGATTCTAGGATTTATTCAGTGAATACCTTTAGCCTACCTTACATGCTGGACTTATTGTGGCAAGGCCTCAAATGTATCAAACCAGATGAAATTGCCAATATTTGACCAGTTGAAATTGATGATCAATAAAGTTGGCACAAAGCATATCTCTAGCTGTGCTATTTAGAATTTACAATGTTGTCGTCTTTTCAATTTTCCAATAATTTGGTTTTGTTATTGTTTATTTTTCTCACAGAAGTAAACAATATGTTTTCTTCATAGAAACTGTGAAACCGATTGATGTGAATTTCAACAGGGAGATAGCATACCTAAGGCAGGTAGAAACATCCATCTAGATTTGGGAAAGGGCTTTGTTAGCCAAAGGACTATTCTGTGTTGCTTTAGAATTTTTGTTCTGGGTGTCTGAACCTCAAAAGTGGGCCTAGTAGAAGTTCCGAACCCATTTTAAATGAAGACCAATTAGAAGCCATGGTAAAAGCTACCCCTCAAACAGCAATGTGAGGCCTTGCAGCGACTTAAGAGTCCCTGCTAAGACAAACTCTCAGAACCTGGGTACAGCAGGGAAGGTAAAATAGTGAACAGGGTATATACCACACCCATGCACAGGACAGCAAATGCTAAGGTGGCTGGAGCGATATTTATTGCTGAAGATTCAAAACAGCAGAGACACATTTTGGGAGGAGATTATATAACCTGTGACAATAAATGGGTACTGGCTGACAACTGAAAGAGATCTGGACAATGGCTGGAATTTGGGGAGGCTCCCTAGCACATTAGGAAGCCGTCATTATGATTAGAGAATGTTCTGGCACCCACATGGTGGTCTGCAGAAGGCATAATGCAACACTCCTTTTAAAAACTGTGTGAAAAAAACAATAGCAGAACCATCTTGTCACAAAATTGTTCCAAGCTTGATTTGTGAGCAGTTCTGTGGCTGCATGCTGCTTTGGTGGATTCCTGGTCACCTCACTGTCATTAGAAATATGAAGGTTATCCAGAAAGTATCCAGCCATGTAATATGAAAATTACATATTAATAATGGCTGGATACTTTCCGGACAGCCTCGTATACTGCTAGAATCAGGGTCAGCAAACTATGGCCCATGGGCCAATTCCAATGACCATCTATTTCTGTACAGTTCATGAGTTAAGAATGTTTTATAAATTTTAAGTAGTTGAAAAAAATCAAAAGAATGATATTTTTGACATGCGAACATTATATAAAATTCCAATTTCAGTCCATAAAGTTTATCAAAATGCATCAACACTAATTCATGTACATAGTGTCTACGGCTGTGTTCGCACAAAGACCGAATTGAGTAGTTGTGACAGAGACCATATGGTCTGAAAAGCCTAAAAAATTTACTATTTGGCTCTGTACAGAAAAAGTGTGCCACTCCCCTGTGCTAGAGTGTCATTCCCTTTGCTTAAAAAGAGAAAGTGAGGTCTTCATCAGCCTTCAAGAAGAGGCTATGCCTGTTTTGTGCCTGCTTGTTAGCAAATACCAAAATTTGGCCTTAGACTTGCTTTCTTTAGAACCTGGTTGTGAATTACTGGAGCAGTCAAAGAGCTGGCACCTTTCTTTAACTGTTGGGAGTTAATGATATTGGCCAAAAAGAAACTAATGATTGGGTAAAGCCCAATTATTATAGGATTATTTTGCTGCAGATACCCTGGCAGGGGTAGAAATGGTAGCTGGAGCAAAATCTCATCAGCAAGTTAGTCCCCGGTTTCAGACTTTTCCTAAGACCTAGTTGCTTTACTGCCCTTTGCACTCCATGAAACACTGAGTATCTTTAAAATAAATCTCTTAGGTTTTGCTAAGCCATGTCCAGCAAATTTTTATCACTTGGAACCAAATAGAGTCCTTATTTATACACTCCTGATGATCAACAGAAGGGGATAAAGACACAAAAGTTGCAGTCATTCATTTTATGGAGCCATAAGACCTCCCTGAATTATTTAGTTAACTGTCCACCAGCAGTTATAGCCTGGTACCTCTCACGCTTTCCCCAGATATCTTAGTTATTAAGGTGATGCTTTATAATCTTTGCATTGGGCAACAACACAGCAAAAATAGTGATACTTTTTAGGTAATACAGGGAAGTATGTAGTGTGTTGATGGGTAATAAGTAACACACACTACATCTCTTTTTAAGAGAGGACATCACAAACCTAAGACAACCCAAACGCCTCATCTCTCATTCATCCATTATTCACAGATAGTTCCAAAGATTCAGCAGGTGATCAAACAGACCTTCCAAAGACATAACTAGGGTCAGTGCCAACACCTGTGAAGATATCAGTGCTTCCCTCTGCCTGCTGTGCATCATTCTCTCTGTAGCATTTGCCTTCCTTGCTAAGGGAAGCTGTCCCCCAAGTCATCTTCACTGGCATTTCCCCCAGTCTCACTGTTAGGTGACAATGCCAGTAACTGAAGATGTGCAGGGAAGACAGCAGGAGTATGCTCTTTGCAATGACATGCCAGATCAATAAACACCTTCATGCAAGCCTGTCCCAGTTAGCGGATAAATGGGTCCCTGTTTTAATTATTAAACAAGAATTGGCACTAGTCAGCAGGTAGGCACTTTACAAGACAAAAAGTATTTCCAATACTAAATTGAATGGAGTGTAACTTTCTCCTGACTCAATCACCTCCATCATCCGACTTATCAACAAATGGAAACAGTCTGCTAACCAACTGATGTGTCGACTTTTAGGGTCACCGCCATGGAAAAAAACATTTGTGAATTTTCCACTGATACATCATTTTGGTATTTTCTGACTTCCAGCATCCTTTATCTTTTGATGAACTCCATGGCTCGTCTTGGTAAGAGCACCAATGAGCCCGGGGAATTCTTTTTGCAGCCTTCTCTAGTGGTGGGAGCACATTGGTTTCAAAAGGCTGTGCTACATAGAGCACTCACTTTTCCTGCACTAATACTAATAAATCCAGGAGAGAGTGCTTCCCGAAATGGATGGACCTGGGCTTGCCTCAGTATAATGGGGCTTTTATGCTGACATGCTCCATTAGGGACCACCACACACATCTTCCTCAATAAACAAGCTTACTGCCCAAGTAATAAAGTCATTTATGGAGAGAAGTCAGCCAAAAGACCAGGACTTACGAGAGGTTCTCAGAGAAGAATCACACCGAGTTAGGTTAAAAGAGAATCCCGTAGATTCAAATCAAAAGACTATCTTTCAACTGAAAGCTGGTTCCCCTGGCAGGGAGCCTGCTTCCTCCGAGCCCATTACCATGCCTTTTCTTTAGGGGTCCAGAGGGAAAAGCTCATCTGTACGGTCCCAAATAAGGAGAGAGAATTTGGTGACTTTAAAGCCAATTAAATTCTTTTGAATATTAGAGTTTTCTCTTTTCCAAAACATAAGAATTTCTGATCAAGCAAGAACTTTTCCACTTTTAATTAGCCCCTTGTGTTCTGAGAAGAAAAGCAAGGGTGAAAGTTATCTTTAAAAAGTCACTGTTACAAGGATTTTAAATTATTTAGCTCTACTGATTATTAAAGGGAGATGTCACAAAGAAGTGGGTGTTTCCTTTTCTCCTGTCCCCAGGTCTTCTGTGGTGGGAGTAACTCTACGACTCATCAAGGACCAAGCGAGCAAACCCAGGAGATACAGGATGGATGCTGGCAAAGGGGAGACGTGAGATGAAAGACAGAGCTTCCTGGAAGAGGAAGACATTGGAAGTGCCTAACATGCTTTGCTGATCCTCACAATGTAGCAGCTGCCTTGAAAGGGAATCGATCCATGCTAGTCATCATTGCTCTGTGTGTGTGTACACGCACATGTGTATAGGGCATGGGACATACAGAGATGTGTGTTCGTGTGCGTGCATAAGTGAATGTATATATGTATATGTGTCTCCCTTTGTACTTAGATATCTAAATGAGATTGTAATGGGCCCTGTGCTCTTTTCTCCCCAATTGTATACTTTTTTCCTCTTTTATTAAGATACTACATACATATAAGTGAAAAAAACCAGAACTCCAGGCATATAGCCTAATGAATTTTTTACATATGTCTATGCCTGGATAATCACAACTCAGATCATGATAGAAAACTCCCAGGACCTTAGGTCTGAACCCAAGTCAGTCATCTCATAGCAGTTCTTTGGTCCGCATCCCAGGGAGAGAGGTCTACTAAGGTCAGGGCCAACCAAACTCTAACCAGAGGCAGGGATGAGGCTGGGGGTGGTGGGGTGTCCTCAACCACACACCACAAATGCCTGGTGCAGTTATAAATAGCCCTGTGGAGGTGGAACCTTCCCAAGGGAGCCAATCCTGGAGGATGACGGCCCAACAGCCAATCCCAGCCCTTGACAAGAGGAGGCCCCTCCCACAGCAGAGTCAAAGACACCAATCATGCCCTTTCCCAGCCTCCTTTGCAGCCAGTCCATGTGACTGCTTCCCAGCCAATAGGAACCATTGGCCTATCTACCAGGGCCTTCTAGGAAAGAGCTTCCCTTCAGCACAAAAATAGAAGAGAGTAGAGTGAGAAAGTTCTATCTCTTCTTTTGCCAGGCACATTCAGGCAAGAGTCTTGGAGCGGGGGCAACTGTCCATGAGGGAAGACGATACCAATACACCAAGGAGGCCAGTGGGTTGGAGGCTGAGCCCTTGGTGACATGGTTGAATCTCCAAACCGGAGGTTAGCAAGCTTGAGTTGTGAAGGGTCAGATAGTAAATATTTAGGCACCCTGGGCCATGTATGGTCTCTATTGAGGCTGCTGCTTGCTATTTAGCAACCTTTCTTAATGTTCGGGCTATAGAAAGAACAGAGAGAGCAGAGTATATTTGACCCATTGGCCAAAGTTTGCTGACCCCTTCTCTAGACCAATGCAGCAACCACATATCTCCAGAGTTCTTGTTAAGTATAATGATTTAAAACAAAAACAAAAACTATTTTGTAAGCTACTCTAAGTCAGAGAGTCTGTTACTTGCAGCTAAAAGATTCCCCAAGGATATTGTAGTACATCTGCTTTCTTAGACTTATTCCATATCTTAAGGAAATAATATTGAAGGAAGTATTTGAGAGGTCCAGAGGAAATGTAGGACTTCTTTCTCAAAATGCAGTGTCTGCTACTGCTTTGGGGGGACAGGAATGGGTGGAGGGACAGAAGGCTGTGGAGAGTAAGGGCAGATAGCTGGGAGTGGAGAGCTCTTTAAGAAACAATGGTGATATAGCATCTCTTGTATTTTCCTGGATAGAGCTGGAACCCATTCTACTAAGTGAAGTATCTCAAGAATGGAAAAACAAGCACCACATGTACTCACCAGCAAATTGGTATTTACGGATCAACACCTCAGTGGACATATAGGAATAACATTTATCGGGTGTTGGGCAGGTGGGAGGGGTAGGAGGGGATGGGTATATACAAACATAATGAGTGAGATGTGCAATGTCTGGGGGATGGTCATGCTTGAAGCTCTGACTCGAGGGGGGAGGGGGTCATGGGCAATATACGTAACCTTAACATTTGTACCCCCATAATGTGCTGAAATAAAAAAAATAAAAAATAAAAATAAAATAAAAAGGCTAAGGGGAAAAGATATTCTACAAACTCTTAAAGCACAGCCCAAATAGCAAGATTTTCCCACCTAAAAAATTCAAATGGTTTACAGCCTGCATCTCTCCGTCCTTTTAATGCTATCAGTGATGGTTAGCTTTATGTGTCAGCTTGGCTAGGGTACAGTTATTCAATCAAGCTAATCTAGGTGTTGCTGTGGAGGTACTTTGTAATGTGTTTAACACCTACAATCAGTTGACTTTAAGTAAAGGAGATGATTCTTGATAATGTGGGTGGGCCTCCTCCAATCAGTGGAAAGTCCCTAAGAAAAAAACTGAGGTTTCCCCGAAGAAGGAGAAATTCTGCCCAAGACCATAGCATGAGCTCCTGCTTGTGAGTTGCCAGCCTGCTGCCCTGGCTTAGATTTTGGACTTGCCAGCCTTCACAGTCAGGTGAGCCAATTCATTGAAAGAATGCTATATAGTCAATCTCCATTATTCATAGATTCCACATTTGCTAATTCTCTTACTCACTGAAAGTTATTTGCCACTCCAAAATCAATGCTCACAGAGCTTTTACAGTCATTTGTGAATATGTGCAGAGAGGCAAAAGTTATGTGATGCTCATATTCCTGGCTGAGGCTGAACAAGGCACCACTCTGCCGTTTTTCAGTTCTCACACTAAACAAAAGTCCTCTTTGTGGTCTATTCAGTGCTTTCTTTTTTTCTTTTTTATTTCTTCTTCTTTTTTTTTTTTTTTTACATTTTTGTGCTCTTTGTTAGTGATTTTGCTGTTTAAAATGGCCCTCCAGAGTAGTGCTGAAGTGCTGTCTAGTGTTGTAAAGCACAAGAAAGCTCTGATGTGCCTTACAGGGAGAACAGATGTGTTAGATAAGCTGGTTCAGGCATGAGTAATAGAGCTGTTGGTTGTGAGTTCAATGTTAATGAAGCAGCAATATATACTAAAGAACATGTCTTTAAACAGAAACACATATACAACAAAGTCATGTATTGATCAGCTGGCGGAAAATGTTGTGACCAGAGGCTCATAGGAACCTAACTGTGTATTTCCCCTAGGAACAATGTCACTAATGCAGTGTTTGTGGAAACTTTATAGACCATACCTAGCATAAGTAATGAGAATCTGATAATATATATGTATATAATGTACAGGTTCTGTTTCTCTGGAGAACCCTGACTAATATACCAGCTCTCCAAGGGTGGGCTCTGTTAGGGTAGGTTGATCAGGAAACTGTTCAAAGGCTCCGAGTCTCTTCAGGATAAGGTCTGGGCTTGTTATCACAGACCTTCGAAGATCACAGACCTTCGAGATCTGCTGCGTGCTCAGCCTACAGGCCTGTGAAGCTTCATCTTTTCTCTGACACAGCATCTGGCCTTTAGCCAAACTTGACTACGTGCAGTCCCTGAATGCACTGCCTCATTTTCCTCTTCCACGCCTCATACACCTGCTTTCTACCTCCGCACCATTACATCTCAGCCCACTGCTCCAGCCTCATTTCACAATCGTCTGCCCCTCATCTGCTCTGCACTAGCATCTCCTCACTCCCAGTCCTGGACCAGCATCCCTGGTTTCCTGCAGCCTTGCCCTTCTAAGGCATGTTTGCACATGTTGATTGCTTCCCCTGGAATGTTCTTTTATTCTCTCTTTATTGTTAAAACTTACACCTCTTCCGTAATCCAGGTCATCTTCCCTTTTCTCCTTCACTATGTTATGTTGCATTGCTTACCTCCCCTCCATAGCACTTGTCAGAATTGTAATCTATATCAGTTTCCGTTATTATTTAATCAGTGCAGGGGTTCTTAATAATATTGTCCCATGGATCCCTATGGCAGTCTAGAAAAACCAGAATAATGTTCTCAAAGACATGCTATAAAATTACAGAGAAACTTGGATTTTCAATGTAATTGGTTATCAAAATATTTTTTTAATGTAGCATAGTAATAAATGTGGTTCTTTATTACTACATTAAATAACAAGATCTAGTGGAAAATCTAATAACTACTGTAATTTTGAAGTAGTGATGAGTACAAATGATATTTTAAGACATCTTCAACAATTATAATGGGATATAAAAATCTGGAATTTATATTGGTGAGCAAAGTCACAGATATTGCTAATTCTACTGGATTTGTTGCCTAAATTCATAATGGAAGAAAATGCTAAACCTTAGGTAAAGGTTTCTGGAAACAAAGATGCCATTTGGTTTTTATCCAAATTCACAGATTCCTGTCTCCTTGCTGAAGTCCATATATGTGCTCTAGGTTAGGGATTCCAGATTTATGTTCGAATTTCCCAGTCTACCATAAGCTCTGAAGGGACAGAGCCATGTGTGATTTTGCTTATTGTATTCCCAATACGTAGGACATAGTGAATACTCAAGAAATAGCTGTTGAAGGACACAACGGAAGAAATAAAGGGACTCCACTGTCTGCTTGGCTAAGGGAGTTTTTACCCACTTGCTTTAAAACTTCAAAACTCAGGCAAGTTTTTATCTCCCTCAGACAGTCTTCCAGGCTCATCTTCTGTAAACCCATTGAGTTGGTTCTCCCTCCCGTGAACACTCATCAGGAAATGCTTCCTTCTGAAATAGCGCTTCCTGAAACTGTCCGTGTAATCGGTCTTCTCACTCATGCATTTTTGATTGAAGAGCTTTTGAAGGGCAAGGGATATGTGATAGTTCTCTCTGTACCAGTGTTTGTTAACACAAGGAACAGGGCACAGTCTTGTACTCTATGGATTTTATTTTTTTAATTGAACCAAATTTTATTGTCTCCTTTTTTTCCATGGAGGTGCTATCTCTGCTGTTACTCTCATGTCACATGGGGCCCCTGGCTCCTCTTTGACCTGTTCCCTTTGCCTTTCGTTCTCTCCCAATCCCTTCTCAGTGGGTCCATGGGTCGCTGTTCATGCAATCGCCCATTCATGGATTGACTCTAAAACAAACCCTATGAGCATGAACAATGACATGCACATCACAAATCCTAAAATGTACCCTCTTTTCGTCAGTCACTGAGAAACTAGGGACACACATGGTCTTTGGAATGTGAACAATTTTTAAAAGCATCCAACAGGCAGCATATACACTTGCATTTATCTCATCCAGGAAGAGGGAGCACAGACTCAGCAGTCCCCAGAGGGTCTCAGCCAGGTGCCTAAATCAGAACCACCCAGGGAACTTCGACCTACTGCTCTCCTTGTCTGTTGAATGGCCAGAGGGTTGGACAATGGCTGATTGTGACTTATATTTGTTCTGTTTGTCCATGGATTTGTTTGGCAAGTACCTTGTTGGAGGGAGTAGTGGGAGGAAGAAGGAAGTTCTTTGGAATACACATAGAATTAAAGCAGTTGCTTTGGATGAAGGGCTGCTTATGTACCAAGTGTTTCCCACTTGAAAACCACTCTTGGCCCAATTGTTATCACATCTGCGTATTAATTAGATAATTGTTTACTTACTATTTTCTTTTTAAAACAGCTTTCTCAATTCACTTCACAGAAGTCACACATGTTAAAAAATATTCTCTAATATACATTAAAATAAGAGTTTCCATGCACTACACCAGAGCTTTTTGTGTACTATCAATGCAAGTTTTGGGTCTGTGAGTCAGACTCTACCCATGTTCCCGATTCTTTTAGCTCCGTCTGCTAGTAGTGTATTAATATATTTTAAAATTACCACGAAATGTTTTATTTGTATCCTACAAAATAGGGTTTTATTTTGTTCGTATTAAACATTTTATAGGTGGCATCACATCATTCATATCCGTTTGTCCAACTTGCTTTGGGTGCTCAACTTTATGTCTTGGAGATTTAGCCTTATTGATAAATCCAAACCTTGTCCACACACTCTGACTGCAATATGAATACACCACCATTTGTTTATCCATTTCCCCGTGGATGGGCATCTAGGTATTTCTAGTCTCCCGATATTATAAACTGAGCACATTCATTTTCACCCGGGTCTCCTTGGCTATATTTATGAGAATTTCTCTAATGAATATACCCTAGAGTGGAACTTCTGGGTCATGGAGTGAGCATCTGCATCCTGAATGGCATCAGACTTAGCCCTGACACGTTTGTGCCATTTACACTCCTAGTAGCGAAATAGGAAAGTTCCACATCCCTCGACAATATTTGATATTGTCAGACTTTTACATTTTGTTAATTTTAGGGGTGTGAAATGGTGGACCATGGTAGACTTAAGTTGCATATCTTTGATTTGTACCCTCTGTGGATTGTAGCTCCCCTTAAGTGCTTTTGATGTGTTAAGGGCATTGTCATGATCAATCTGTCCATTGTAAGACTGCCGTGTATTTTACTCCACCACACGACTAGACTTCGAACCTTCTGAAGCCTGCACTTAACCACCCCGTATCACAGCCGCTCCCCTCTGTCTGTATTCACATGCAGACAGCCACGTATTGCTAAAGACTGAGGCTCAGTATACGCAGCCATCAGTTGTGACTTAGCACTTTCTCTCATTACCCTGTCTCCCTAGCTCCTCTTACCCCAGTGCCTAGCACAGGCTTGTACGCACAGCAGATTTGTAGTATGTGGTTTTTGGTAACAAGAGCAATAACGGTGACAATAAAACCCTATTGAGTTACACATGGATTGTAAGCTTATGCGGCTAAAACTCTCTCTCTCTTTATGAAATTAAGCCCCTCACAGGTT